AGGGGAACTGGCCACGGGGTTGCCATCCCTGAGACGTCATGGCGGAGGAGATGGACGAAGGTGTGACGGAGTTGGAGGAGAAGAGGCGCGTCGGGGTTCATCTTGCGAGGGCGTAGGCCGTCGTCGCGGTCGCCATCTGGGCATCTGAGCGCAGCCCCTGGCGGCGGGTATAGGACTATAGGTGCGAGGTGGCGCCGTGGTGGAGGAAGATGGGTCAGGCTAGGGCGTGGGTGGCGGCGGCATCGTGCAAAGAGACAAGGGGAGGTTGCGGTGGATGCGGCGGCGACTTTCTCGTCAGAGAGACAGGATCCGGAGCGAGAATTGGGAGGAGATGGCGTGGGTGAGTGGATCGCGGCAGATCGGCAGTTGCCCTTCGACCGAGTCGTGCATGCGTAAGTGGGCTTGTTTTACGATTTTCCTTTTCTCTCGTCCGTGTTCCGCTCAACTGCATGCGCGGTATGGCATTATTTTCGCGGGGATCGCACGAGGTAGAGAGGATGCTCGTAGCAACGGGATGCGATCGAGGGTGGGGCTGCGGTCGAACCATCACGACGACGACTGCATATCCCCCTTTAATAGTAGAGACTAGTGGGGAACCGGAGTCCAGGAGGACGGCTGGAGACAACCGCAAGCCCAAGAGCCTCGGGGCCCATGACGCTCAAGCGGTTACGTTATCGCCATCCATTTTGAAGCAGATTTCTCAAAAAGAAAAAATCCATTTTGAAGAGGAGGCGCGCGTCTGCGGTTCCGCCCACCAGTTGCTGCAACTCATCCCCACCCCACCACACCACTCCACTCGCCCTTCGCCGCCGCGACGGCAACCGCCGATGGCTCCTCCACGCCGCCCCCCTCCTTCCCGGCCCGCTAACCACGCCGTGTTCCTCCTCCTCGCCGCGGCCGCCCTCTTCGGGCCCGCCGTCGGGGTGGAGATCCTCTCCAAGTCCCGCCTGGAGCGCTGCGCCCTGGACTCGGGGGCAGGCGGCGCCCTGGCCTGCGACCGCAAGCTCGTCCTCAACCTCGCCGTCCCCAGCGGCTCCGTAAGCCTATCCTCATCCTCCTCGTCCTTCTCCTCTCGAGCCGTGCGTTGTTTTTGTACTGACGGTGTGTGTGTTCGGGGGCTCGATTCAGAGCAGCGGCGAATCGTCGCTGGTGGCGGAGGTGGTGGAGGTCGAGGAGGATGATACGCAGGCGATGCAGACGGTGCGGGATCCCCCCGTCATCACCATCAACAAGTCCGCCGTCTACGCGCTCTACGCCATCAGCTACCTCAGGGTAAAGCCCCTCTGCCTGTGCCCCCCTGACCAACAGACCGGAGTCTGGTTTTTCTGATGAATAGCTAGTAGGATGCCATTTTCCACTTCAAGACTTAGAGCCAAACAGCCTCCAGCCATCATACAATGCTGGCTCGTACTCCCTCCGTCCGGAAATACTTGTCGCATAAATGGATGAAAATGGATGTATCTAGAATTAAAAGTACATCTAGATACATTCATTTCAATGACAAGTATTTTCGGACGGAGGGAGTACTTGTTAATTGATATCACGCATTCCTTCTGGAGAAATTTAGGTGTACTACTTGAGCTGGAAATAGTATGCAATTTTCAGGCTCTTGGCAGTCCCTGTTGCTGTCCATTCCCATCACTCGCGGCCCTATCGTAGCGTTTCTCGAATGGGCACATCATAGGGATATTTCTCTATTTGTCATGGATAAACAGGGAGTCCACGAAGCGGGTTTCCAAAATGTTTCAGAGCTATTGAAATGTTGGAATGCCATTCAGTATGATCTGATACCGCTAGAGTGGGACCGTTTATGCTTACGCATTCTGCATCTCCTCATTTGTTATAGCAACCCCATTTGCATCTGAAAATGTTTTTATCATTTTGTTGTCTGATTGTTTTTATATGCAGCTTGTTGCACTGAAAAGTTAGCCATATCACTGATATCAACTGTTACCTACCAGTAACACTATACTATAACAAATCATGTGAATTCGGAGCTGATTTATTGTCTGTGCTCGTTTCTTCAGGATGTTGCTTATAAACCAGAGGAAATGTTTACCAAGACACATAAATGCGAGTCAGATGCTGGTGCTAATGTTGTTGGAGTTTGTGAAAGGTAAAAAAAACTTTGGAACTCGATCCAGTTGATTGGTTGTCATCATCATTCGTCAATATTTCTGGGAGGGATTCCAATTGGCAGGTCTTCATAATCACAGGCCCACCATTTCAGTTTTAGACAGCAATGATCTGTGCTGTAGCACTTTTGGTGCAGTTTATTACAATAGTATAACCCTTGCCGTATACATTTGTGTAGCATATACCGTTTACTACCTCCGTCCTGGTTTATAGGTCCCCTTTGTAGTTTGTGCCAAACTTTGACTAAAGATTTAACTAACAAAATGTTAATGCATGTCAAGAAAAATTATCTCATTGGATTCGTATTTGAACATAGTTTTCAAAAATATAATGTTTGGTGACATGCATGAACATTTTGTTAGTTTAATCTATGGTCAAAATTTAGCACGAAATACAATGGGGACCAATAAACCCGGACGAAGGTAGTACTCTCATGGCCATTCATATCTTTAGACCTTCCCTCGATTTCTGCATCCTTCTTTATACATATTTTCAATGTCGTATAAAATAATGATGTCTATTTCATGAATATGGCTAGGTTATGGGATCAGAACGGTCACGTAATTGAGCATACAGAGGTGAAACGCACTGGCCTTTGTCATCCTTACTTTATTATCTCAGTGTCTTGAGTAGTAGCAATATTGTACCAAACAGTTTTTGACCGAATAAACCGTGGATCTGATTGCTTTGGGGCTTTTTTTTCCTCGCCTACGCATAGCTTTGGTCTTATATGACTTTGCTAGGTGCCGGCGTGTTTTTGTGTTCGTGTGTCGGTGTTGGCTGTGTGCATCCTAGCTATGCAAAGGCCGGGTGTGTGCTCATAGTGTTTGTATCCTCTTGATGCTCCATTTTGAACCAATAAAATCCACCCTTTGTTGATTTTTTTTGAGAAAAATAAAGGCACATATGAAGTTCTTTTCAACGTGCTTGTGCAATGAATGCACCTGCATGTCATATACTCAGTTCAGTTTGTGTTATTGTATTTTACATGTAGCTATGATCTACTATCTCATGATTCTAATGTTTCCTCTCTTTTTCACGGTAAATCTAATGTTTCCTCTACACTTTGCATTGCACTAGCCGGTTTGCTGTCCATGTGGGCCTCATCGCCGTGTTGGTTCGTCTTGCGGATCAATTTGTGAGCTAACAAATTGTTTTTTTGAGCATTCCTGCATTTTCAGTATAACATTGTGTCACACCTTTCACATGCATCTTCCTTGCAGTTGATAAAATGATTAAAGGCAAAGCTAATACGGCTCACTGTGTACGTTTTCCAGGTGATTGGTATGGGCATTAATTGTGAGATATCTTTGTAATATTTACAAATATTGTCTTAAGAACTCCACCTGTTGAGTTTGAATTGGCACGATATCCTAATATCTTGTACTTCTTATTTCGGTCTGACATGGTCATAGTATTTCCTTTTCCTTTGCTAACATCATCAAGTAGGCAGTTCACATTTTGGGGATTAGTGGTGATCTAGTTTATTTATTTATTTTTAAGTAGAATCTTGGAGAGTATATGCTCATGCCAAACTTATATGCTGTTCACACTATTCCATGTTTTTTTATCATTATTCAGGTCAAAATTTGAGTAAATCTGTGTATCACTGTATCTCCATTGCTTATAAACAGGTTTCATGTTTTTGGAATTGGGACGAGGTCAACTGGGTACAGCATCAGAGTACAAGTAAAGAAAGGCTCTTCTGTAACGGTTGGCACTAAAATTCTGCACTGTTACTTGTAAGGCTAGTATAGAATACAGACTCTTGAAGAAATTACCATGATTATGTACATGCTGACAATATGTTTGCACGAATAGGCACAAGCAAAATACAATCCTCCTGATGACGATATTATATTTTTCACATGCCTTTGCTAACTAGAGTTCTATCAAGTCTGGGAACCTTGGCTTGCTGCGCTTAATATTCTCAATATTCTATTTATTTATCAAATAAAAGTATCGTCCAAAGGACTACTTTTCTGTTCTTATATCTGGTTTGCTGTTTTCAACTTCGAGTATGCAAAGCACTTATGCAACAGCAGTACGCCTTTAACAATTTGACATAACACTGCAGGAGGTTATTGTTAGTCCAGAGAATAAAACAGTTGTTTCTAAAGATAACTTTCTGAGAGTAAATCTCATTGGTGACTTGGTTGGTCACGAAAGTATGCCAACATTTGAAGACTTCTATCTTGTGACTCCACGGAAGGTATTCAGCAAATTATTATACATGTATTTCTCTCACGCGACTTCATAATTTCCTTCTATATCTGAAATATTGAAGGGTGGTGGTGAGGGTCAACCGCAAGTTCTTGGCGATGAGTTTTCCTGGTGGATGCTGTTGGAGAGAGTCCGGTTTACATTAGATGGACTTGAGTGCAACAAGATTGGTGTTGGGTATGAAGCTTACAGAAACCAGCCTAACCTCTGTGGATCACCATTTGGGAGCTGCTTGTACAATCAGCTTTGGAATTTCAAGGAGGTAAGGTTGTGCATTAGCAAGTGTTAAGTTTTCTTTTGCAAGGATAAGTGTCGAGCTTCTTGTTCGTGAAGCACAATCTGCTAATATTGTAACTGTTTAGTCTTGAGTTTCTATTTCATCATTTTTTTCAGTCTGACGACAATCGAATAAACAGAAACCAAGAGCCCCAGTATATTGTGCAGGGACGATTTGATAGGATCAACCAACACCCGGTTATATTCCCACCATTTATTCTTGAGTCCTGTTTTTATGCTAGCATTGGATAAAGCATTTGATACATACCCATCACAGAATGCAGGAGCTCATTCATTCTCTATTGGAATCACAGAAACTCTGAATACTAATTTGCTGATAGAGCTGAGTGCTGATGATATAAATTATGTATACCAGAGGTACTGATAATAATTACGCAATTTTATTTTGCATTTACCTTGCACTGATTTGTCAATTTCAGGAGTCCAGGGAAAATAATTGACATTAATGTCCCTACATTTGAAGCCTTAAGCCAAGTTGGTACAGCCAAGGTCACAATTAAGAACATTGGCAAACTGGAAGCGTCATATAGCTTGACGGTATGCATCGCCAAGGAAATTATAATTTTCTTTGCACGGAAGCAATACCTTTTGATATATTTGTAGACAATACTACCTTTTGATAGTTCATTAATTGCATTAATTTTCTTTTCTACTAAGATGATAGGTGCATGTACTGATTTCCTACCCATCATCCTTGTTGTCCTTGCATGAATAACCTTTCTATTCGTTCGACTGAGATATATTTGACATATAAAACGACTAGTTTAATAATGTAATAGATGATTTACGTAGCCTCCTCAGTTTTCCTGAACTCTGATGACTGCCTTACTCTTTTTACAGTTCGACTGCTTAAGTGGCATCAGTTATGTGGAGGTATATATATTGCGGTCTCGGTATTTTCTCTTTTTATTTGTATTGACGAGCTGTAACACTTCGTTTCAGTTAATTATTCACCAGCACAGTTCCCTGCTTTGGTTATTTGCTCATTCAGTTTGTTCTCATGAAGCTACCCTGCAATTCCATTTGCAGGAGCAATTCTTCATCATCAAACCTGGCCAAGTGCTTATCCGCTCATTTTATTTGCGTTCCTCATCAGACCAAGCATCAAAATATCGCTGCTCGGGTGAGTTAGAAACCAAAGACAGCTCATCATTGTCCTTAAATCCAAAGTCATGTTTTAGGAACTAACAGAGGATTTGTTTGTGGTCGCTTCCAGCTATTTTGAAAGCGTCAGATTTCAGTGAACTTGACAGAGCAGAGTGTCAGTTCTCTACTACAGCCACAGTTCTTGACAATGGAACACAGGTTCTGAAATGTTTGTTCCCTTGTAGTGATCCTGTTAGAATTCATTAGCTTTTCTTTCCTTGTAATGAATTCATTAGCGAGATGGTTAGAGTTGCCTACGATGTTTCATCCCAATCTTTGATGTCAGTGTATCTCTTGCCTTGATAAACTTTTGATATCACAAATCTGTGTTTTTGCACGATCCAGATCCCCTTTTTACTATGACAAATAATTGTGTCGTGCTGTTCCCATCTCTGAGCTACATACATTGCTTACTGCCCTTGAAACCCGTGTAGATCAGCCCACCGAAGCAGCATAAGAAGGGTGGCATCAGGGGTTTCATCGAAGCCATCAAAACCTTGTGGCGCAACACGTGGGACAGCGTGATCGATTTCTTCACCGGCAGATCATGCAGGTAATATATAATGTTATTTTGTAACGAACGGCGGAAGAGGGGATCGGGAGAGAGGGGGAGATCACACGAGAGGGGAAGACTTGGGGAGGAAGAAGAACTTTCCTTACAGAGGAAGGATTAGGTGAGAGTTGGAATCAGTCATCACACATGCCCCCAACCAGCCACAGGCGGCCAGCTAAATACTCACACGACACACACACGCATACTCTTGGCTGGGTCCCACCCATAGGATGCCAAGTCACACATGCCAAGTGGCCATGTGTGACATTCTCCTCTCCTTAAGACTGAGCTTCCTCCTGCAAGCTTGGACCTGCCTCCTCCCAGATGGCTGCTGTTGGAAAACGCTGTCGAAGAACTTCATAATCCTCCCATGTGGTGGCCGCCGACGAACCTTCGCCCCACTGCACCTTGACTTGGACGATGGCCGCATTCCCTCGCTTCATCATGCGTCGTTCCAGCAGCTGAGTTGGCTCTGCTGATGACACAGAAAGATCCGGCACGCGCGGCAGCTCTGTATACACCGGCGTATAGTCCGACGTAAATGGCTTGAGCTGGGACACGTGAAACATCGGATGTACCTGACTGGCGGCCGGTAGAGCAAGCTTGTATGCCATGAGACCAATCTTCTCGAGGATAGTGTACGGCCCGAAGAACTTGAAGGTGAGCTTGGCACAAGGCCTGTTGACGACCGAACGCTGCGCGTAGGGCTGCAGTTTCAGCAGCACTTGTTCGCCGACCTGGAACTGACGCTCAGTGCGGTTGCGATCTGCTTGTTTCTTGAACCTGCGCTGGACGCGCTCCAGTTGGGCGCGAATGTGCTCCGTGTGTGCCGCCCAGTCCATGTCCTCGCCGGCGTGCTCATCCGTTGGCCAGGCCGGCATTGCTCCCAGGTTGGCTTCACGGCCATAAAGCGCCTTGAATGGGGTGTCGTTGAGTGATGCGTGAAAGGTGGAGTTGTACCAGAATTCAGCCATGGGCAGCCAGCGGCGCCACCGCCGCGGCGCGTCGTGCACCGCGCACCGGAGGTACATTTCCATGCACTGGTTCACGTGCTCGCTCTGGCCATCGGTCTGCGGGTGGTACGCGGTGGAGTAGAGCAGTTTGGTGCCTGCTCCGGCAAACAGCTGCTTCCAAAGGTTGCTGGTAAACACCTTGTCGCGGTCGGAGACGATCGACGCAGGGACACCGTGGAGCTTCACGACATTGTCCCAGAAGGCCTTTGCCACTTGCGGTGCATGAAACGGGTGGCGTAGGGGAACGAAATGGGCGAACTTGGTGAACCGATCCACCACCACCATGATCGTGTCCGCGCCATCCGACACCGGCAACCCTTCCACGAAATCTATCGTGAGATCCTCCCATGGCGTAGTTGGTACTGGAAGGGGTGCTAGGAGTCCCGCTGGCTTGCAGTGCTCATGCTTCGCCTGCTGATAGACCGTGCATTGCTGCACGAACTCTTCAACATCGCGCTTCAGGCCACGCCACTCAAAATGCTTGCGCACCCGTTGGTACGTCGCCGTGGCGCCGGAGTGACCTCCCACTGCGCTGTTGTGGAGCGCGGCGATAAGCTTGGTACGGAGCGCGGCGTTGGCGCCGATCCACAGACGGCCTTGGCGACGAATGACGCCGCGATGCAGCTCGTAGCCGTCCTTGTCCGGGCTGACCAAGGTGAGTTTTTGAAGACGATCTTGCGCATCCTGGTCCGTGGAGTAAGAATTGAGTACTTCCTGGAGCCAGGCCGGTTGACACGTCGAGAGCGCGGCCAGATCGAGCTGCTTGCCGACGCGCGACAGAGCATCAGCCGCGCCATTGTCCAGCCCTCGCTTGTACTGGAATCTGAATTGTAAGCCCGCCAATTTCGCCATGGCCTTGCGTTGAAGCTCTGTCTCCAGGTGCTGCTTGCCCAAGTTGCAAAGAGACTTGTGGTCTGTGAGGATGGCGAAGGGGCCCCGCTGCAGGTACGGGCGCCATTTGTCTATCGCCATCATCACCGCCAGAAACTCCTTCTCGTAAGTTGACAGCTGCTGGTTGCGCACTCCCAGGGCCTTGCTGAAGTAGGCGACTGGGTGGCCTTCCTGCACTAGCACGGCGCCCACGCCAGTGTCGCACGCGTTCGTTTCGATCGAGAATGGTTTGTCGAAATCGGGAAGCGCGAGCACGGGCGTGGTGACCATCGCCGTCTTGAGCTGCTCGAATGCCGCTTGAGTGTGCGCCGTCCAATTGAAGCCCTTCTTGGTGAGCAGCTGCGTCAGCGGCTTCGCGATGATGCCGTAATGTGGCACAAATTTTCTGTAATAGCCGGTGAGGCCCAGAAATCCTCGTAGTTCGGTGGCGTTCGTCGGAGTAGGCCACTGCTCCATCGCGCTCGTTTTTTCCTTGTCCGTGGCCACTCCCTCCTTGGAGATCACATGGCCAAGGTAGTCAATGTGGTCGGCTGCGAATGTACACTTGGATTCCTTGACGTATAGCTGGTGTGCGCGGAGAAGCTCGAGGACGAGGCGTAGGTGTTCGAGATGCTCCTCCATGGTTTCACTGAAGACTAGAATGTCATCCAAGAAGATTATGACGAATTTGCGCACATACTTACCGAAAATGGCGTTCATCAGGCACTGGAATGTGGACGGTGCGTTCGTGAGGCCGAACGGCATGACCCTGAACTGGAAATGGCCGTGGTGCGTTTTGAACGCCGTCTTGTGCTCGTCCTCTTCGCGCATCCTGATCTGATGGTAGCCGGCGCGTAAGTCCAGCTTGGAGAAGACCGCAGCACCAGCTAACTCATCGAGTAGCTCGTCGATGATGGGCAGGGGAAATTTGTTCTTGATTGTTGCGTCATTCAGGCGGCGATAATCCACGCAGAACCGCCACGTGCCGTCCTTCTTGACCAGGAGCACCGGCGCGGCGTACGGGCTCACGCTGTGCATGATCAGACCGGCGTCGAGCATTTCGTTGACCTGACGCTCAATCTCGTCCTTCTGGAGTGGAGAATAGCGGTATGGGCGCGTGTTTGCCGGAACCGCGCCTTCGACCAGCGTGACGGCGTGGTCGTACTGGCGGTGAGGAGGGATCCCTTGTGGCGCCGCAAACACGTCGGCGAACTCGTCCAATAGGTCAGCGAGCGGCGTCTGGCTGGCGCACTTACGCCGTGGTGGTGGGGCGCGCCCGCATGTGTCCACCATGGCCAGAGCCCACACGTCGTTGCCCGCGATCATCTTGCGCAACTCATCAGGTTTGATCGCCTTGAGGGTGGTGGACGCCTTCGTGGGCACGCCCCGGAGCGTGACCTCTTCGTTGTCGTGGGTGAATTTGACCCACTTGTCTTGCCAGTGGCATGTCATGGGGCTGTGCTGGGCGAGCCAGTCCATGCCGAGGATGCCACTGTAGGCACCGATGTCCAGTTCGCGCATTGGAGTGGTGAACGTGTGCCCTTGCATCCACCATTTCAATTCAGGTACAATGCGGTTGCAGGTAAGGCGGTCCCCGTTGGCGACGTGCACGTCCACTTGTGGCATCTCTTTCGTCGCCAGCCCGAGGCGATCGACGAAGGACTTGTTGACGAAACTGTGCGAGCTCCCTGAATCGAGCAGCAACAGCATGACCTGGTTGCCCACCAGTGCGCGCAGGCGAATAGTTGTCGCCGAGTCAGTGCCGTCCAGAGCGTGTGACGAGAGGAGGCAGCACTCCGGTGCGGCAACGGCAGGATCAGGTGGTGGCGCTGTCGGTCCTGGGTCGTCCAAGAGTTGCAGGGCGTGAATGGTGTCGTTTGATAGCACTTCCCCGTGGTCGCCCACGCTGATCGTGAGCAGCTGCGCGGGCTGGGCGCATCGGTGCTCGCGTGAGTAACGGTCGCCGCACTTGAAACACAAGTTGTTGGCGCGGCGATAGTCACGCAGCTGTCGCTTGCGCGCGTAGTCATCGGAAGGCGCGCGGTTGGGCGCGGCCGCCTGCTGCTGGACTGGTGCCGTCGTTGGAGGAGGCCGTCCCGCTGGTGTGATGCGTGGGCGGGCGCGCGTCGTGCCCAGTTCCTCTTCTTGGATGCGCGCCAACACCGACGCCCTGGTGATACTCGAGGGCGCCTGGAGGTGCACGGACGCGCGCAGTTCGTCCTTCAGGCCCAGAATGAACTGGGTGACGAAGAATTTTGTGTTGATGGACGGGTCGAGAGCGAGCAAATGATACATCTGCTCGTCGAATGCCGCGCGGTATTCGGCGACGGTGGCCGTCTGGCGTAGTTGCAGCAGCTTGTGCAGGACCACTTCGTACTCGTCGGCACCGAACTCCTCCAGAACTGCCGCTGTGAACGACTCCCAAGTGAGGCCGCGACGTGTTTGACGAAATGCTTGCAGCCAGTGCGCGGCTTGGCCTTCGATGTATAAGGCCGCCGTGGTTACCCACTTGTGGGGCTTCACCTTGTAGAGCTCGAAGTACGCCAGGCAGCGGTCTAGCCAGAGGTACGGAGCGGCGCCATCAAATCGAGGGAAGTCGTGCTTCGGTGGCTTGTGGTAGTCGTGGCCGTGGTAGCCCGATGTCGGCGACGGCATGGCTGCGGGAGCGGCGAATCCACCCTGCGGTGCCACTGGGATCAGCGGAGGGCGATGATCTCCCAGGCGCGGAGGAGCTGCCGCCGCACGGCCCAATTCGGCGGCCATGCGCGGCAAGGGTGGAGGCGGCGGGGGCGGTGGTGGTTGCTGTGGAACGGCGGGCTGGTGAAGCACGGTGGTGACCGAGCCCGACGGTGATGCCGAGCCTTCCACCGTCTTGCGGGTTGCGTCGACATCGGCTTGAGTGAGATCGATCTGCTTGGCGAGGCCCCGGACATCTTGTGAGATCTGCGCGTTGAAGGCGGCCTGCATCTCGATCTGTTTGTCGTGGATCGCCTTCTGCTCATCCATCTTGGTGAGGAGGGACTCGAGCATCTTGGTGATGTTGCCCGTGCTCTCATCCATGGCGGCCAACACTTGGCGCGTCGCCGCCGAAGCTTTGGAGGGCGCCGTCGCCTTGCTCGGGAGAGATCGAACCCCGCGACGGATTTCGGGTGCGCTTGCCGGAGCAGCACACACCGGCGCGGTGGATGTTACCGATCTTCAACCCAATCGACGGAAAAAAAAATTGGTGGCTAAAATTGGCTCTGATTACCAACTGTAACGAACGGCGGAAGAGGGGATCGGGAGAGAGGGGGAGATCACACGAGAGGGGAAGACTTGGGGAGGAAGAAGAACTTTCCTTACAGAGGAAGGATTAGGTGAGAGTTGGAATCAGTCATCACACATGCCCCCAACCAGCCACAGGCGGCCAGCTAAATACTCACACGACACACACACGCATACTCTCGGCTGGGTCCCACCCGTAGGATGCCAAGTCACACATGCCAAGTGGCCAGGTGTGACATATCTGTAATTCGAATCCGGCTGTGCCTATTACTCTTTCTGATCCGGCCGTGCCTCTTACTCTTTCTGACCATTTTAGCTCATCTATCTGTTTCACTCCCTGTGGAACAGCACCAAGTGCTCGAGCTTCCTGGACCTGAGCTGCCACATCCAGTACATATGCATCGGCTGGCTCGTCATGTTCGGCCTGCTGCTCACCACGCTACCCGCAGGTCCGTAAGCATTTCGTTTCGTCAGGTGGCTATTTTTTCATGTTCACGACGCCAATGCTTATTTTCTCTGTTTTTGGCGTTGCAGTTGCGGTGCTGCTGTGGCTGCTCCACCAGAAGGGCATGTTCGACCCGCTGTACGACTGCTGGGAGGACGTGTTCGGGCTGCCGGAGGCCGCGCACCCGAAGCACCGGGAAGGTCGAGGCCATCACGCGCACGCCCACACCCACCACCACCACCACCACCACAGCAAGCACCCGCACGCGCACAAGAAGCGTAGCAGCGGGGCGGTCGGGCAGCAGCAGCACCACAATCACCACCATGTCCTCCACAGGCACGGTGGCAAGCCCGACGACGGCGAGCGGCACCGGCATGCAGCAGCGCTCGGCGTGCAGCACAGGGACGCCGGGCACAAGCACCACCGTCACGGCAAGGCGCCGCAGAGGGAGAGGGCACAAGACCGCGACCATGAGCGCCGCCACCACCACTCTCGTGCGGCGTAGAAGATGGTTGTGATCAATGGGCTCAATGCCGGTCGATGGATATATATAGGACGCTTGAAGGAAATTAGGAACTCGTTGCGACTTGTGTGATTCACGGTGTTCATTTGTGATTGATGCTGTTAAGTTGTACTAGTACTACATAAAAAGCTTTTAGTCGTGCGTCAAGTTCTTTTACAATGCATTTGGGAACGGATGGATCTCGTAAGCACAATCACGACTCAGACATCACAACAAGCACAGTATTACTCCCTCCGTCCGAAAAAACTTGTCCCACGCTTGTCCCTCAAATGGATGTATCTAGCACCCTGCTAGATACATCCATTTGAGGGACAAGCTTTCTCGGACGGAGGGAGTAAATAGTACTTCAATAGTTGCCTATACTTGACAGCACTGAGATTATTTCATCATCACTCACTAGCTCACAGCTTTATTAGTTGATGGCGGCGTCGATACACTGACGGAAAAGAAGAGCAACAAGAGCATGTATCCGCACATGAATCACTTCTTGGGAGGTGGAGTGAGCGCCGCCTTGAGCTTCTGCACGGTGGGCAGGTCGGTCTTGAATGACTTGGCAAGCACGGCGTCATCGACACCGGTGCCGAACACAGTAACGGGCACGGACACAGTGCCGGGCGCAGAGCTGCCGAACGCGGAGAGCGCCACGGCGGGCCTTTGCCCCGGGTTGGACTGGTAGTGCACCAGGCCCTTGGGGAACACGAACATGTCGCCGGCGGCCAGGTCCTGCGTGTAGAGCTTGCCGGCCGTGTCGACGAAGCCGACGGAGAGCGCGCCGTCAAGGACGAGCAGCAGCTCGGCGGCGCGGGGGTGAGTGTGTGGCGGGTTCACAGATTCGGAGGGGAACTTGAGCATGGCGTAAGCCACACTTTGCCCATTGAGCGCAGGGAATTCCATCATGGTGGCCTTGGTCACCGTGAAGTTCTACGCCCCTGGCATCGGCATCGGCATGGTAACGTTGCGGCGGAAGCCGGTGTATGTGAAGAAGTCGCCGGTGATGTTCATCGGTGGCATGCCGATCATGGAAGTCGGCACGATGAAGTCGCTGAGGATGTCCGGGTCGCCGGCCACGGCGGCCAACGGAGCCGAGGCCAGTGCAACCACCACCAACACCAAGGAGTAGTAGCAGTTGATGGACGCCATTGAAAATGTTTAGCCGTGCTAAGAGATTGATTGATGGAGGCTGTGGTTGTGAGCTGTGGTGAAGATGTTGAACCACTTGATGTGTTGTCAATTTATACAGAAGAGGAAAACTAGTGATGTGATGAAGAGTTTGAGAAACCAAGGACGAAGTAGAGTATGAGTATTGCAGAACAACAAGCTGTGTCCAGCTAGCGCTAATTGACAGTTTGACACACATCTGAGGAAGAATATTAACTGGCCGATGTTATGCAACTCTTGGTGTATCCAAGCATACGGATATACCTACAATATGCAGCGTAGGATTTATTTCCGTTTCCATTGTAATGAATACTTGGATGTGTGAGTGTGTATCAATCACTCTCGACTGCAGTGTCAAAAAACATCTTACATTATGAGAGGAAGGGAGTATCTATCTATTATTATATTATCATAAAATAGAAGACAGAAGAGCCGCCACACTTTTAAATTCTAACAACAAAAAATGTGCATGGTATCACTACAGGAATAAGGCACTTTGTTGTCCGCCATGACTGACAGCAAAGGCATGCCTGGCGGGCCAGCAGACGGCAACAGGTCCGACTGAATAAGCTACGGCAAAGCCCTCTTTGCCGTCTGCTGGTGGACGACAAAGATGCAAAGGCCTTTGCCGTCTGCTAGCAGACGGCAAAGAGTCTGGACGGCACACGTGACAGCTTAGGCCCGTTAAGGGTTAACAACGTGCTTTGCCGTCAGCTGGCAGACGGCAAAGATGCAAAGGTCTTTGCCGTCAGCTAGTTGACGGCAAAGCTGCCAAATAGGCCAGCCCAGTACACCCCAGGCTGCACAGGTAGCAACCACGTGTCAGCTTTGTCGTCTGCTGGCTGACGGTAAAGATCTTTGCCGTCTGCCAGCGGACAGCAAAGTTGCTGTATAGCCCCTGTTTTTTCTTAAATTCATTCAATTTGACAAAATTTCACACACACACACACACACATATATATATATATATATATATTTCAAAATAATTTCAACAAGCATATTAACAATAAGTTTCCAACATACTCCCTTCGTTCTGATTTACTCATCGTGGTTTTAGTTCAAATTTTGAACTAAAACCACGACGAGTAAATTTTGAACTAAAACCACGAAGAGTAAATTGGAACGGAGGGAGTATAAGTTTCCAACTACATATCCAACATACAATGGTTTCCAACAACATATATCCAAAACAAGTTTCCAACACATCTGCAAATTAGAAGAAGACTAGCTTTTCTTAAGATCTTCACTCCTCCCCCTTCTTCTCCTTCATCATCGTGATGCGCTTAGAGCGGTGAGGCAATGGGATATACTCCTCTACCACAATTAGCATGGTCAAGTCGTCCCCCAGCTGTGGGATCGCCGGCGCCACCACCATCACGTGGTCATCGTCAGGCACCACCACTATCACGAGGCCATCTTCAGGCACCGCCGCCGCTAGCTCATCGTCAGTCGCCACTATCGCGAGGCCATCATCAGCCACCACCATTGTGTGGCCATCGTCAGCCACCACCATCGTGAGGTCATCCCCGCTCTGCTCCTCTTCTTCCCCACTCCGTTCCTCCTCATTATCGCTGCTGCTTTTGCTGTAGCCAGAGTCGCTGCTGCTGCTCTCATTGCCTCACCAAATGCAACAAAGTTTTTTTAACAATCGATGTGAGACAAAGCCAAATGTAGAGGCAGAAGAGGCAGAGCGTACTGGCATTATCGTCATCCAGGTAGCGCATGTGGCACATAGTCATGTTGAACACCTTCATGATGAGCATGGTGTTGCCGTCGTACCTGAAGACAAGGAAGTACCCGTGCCGCAGGTCGTAGGCACGGGCGAACTGCTCCCAGCCACGACACATGTACATGTGGCCATACCTGATCACCACCTCCACGTTCCACAGCCTGCGAAGCCCGCTGCCAGCCCGCAGCTTCACATTCTTTGGTCGATGGTCGTCCAGCATCTTCATAAAAGTGTCAGGCAGCCTTTGTTGCATGGGTCAAGGAGTGATGTAGCAAACAACAGAGTTATGATAAAGAGATGGGTGAAGGGGAGATCTCTCCTTTTATATACCTGCCTCCTGGAGGAATTCTCAAGTATGATCGTGAAGAACTCGAAACCATCCAAGTCGTAATCCGGTGTGGCAGAGCGCAGCCTGCGGTGGCGGCCTCCCCCCATCTCTAATAAGCAGCAGAAGAGACCAATTAGTATCTAGACAAAAGCTAATGATACCAATTTCATGCCATATAAACCACATATTGACAAAATAATTCTCAGCCAAAGCTTTCCTTAATGAAATCTAATATGCCCTACATACAAGAAATGTAGAAGTGTAACATAATGTTTCACTAGATGGTAACAATGTTTCATTGGTTTACAAGATTATTTGAGACACTTGTAAATAACAAAGGACAAGACTACAATGTGATGTCACATTATATAGTCTTCACATGTGACACCAATTCACTCTCTCGCTTATGCACGCATGACTGCGATATATCAAGATGCCACACATATAAGCATGTAATGAAACAATATATCAAATATGTAAGCATGATATCAACAGCTGAATTGTTTTTTAATTTTCAAGAAAACATAGCTTTCAAGCCATTAACCTGGTTGACGATTTATTTCACGATTGGCTCATTATGACAAGATCTTCAAAACTAGATCTCAGGGATGATATTTGTCTTTTAGTAGTAGCTAGGACATACGACTGACTTGCCAGGTCATATGCATATTATAGCCACTTGGTTGCCATGTAGCAACTTGGTTACCAAGTTACTATATGTTACACTCCACCCCCACATAGGATTTGCATGATAACACATTTATTGATGTCATCTCTACTTGCACAAAAATTTCAAGACTCACTCCCTAGGCACAATATTGCAATGCCTGGAATACATATAATTTATTATAAATTAGCTCATAATACTTGTAACAGAAGATGCAAATTAGCTTATAGTAATGAAAGAATGTACACCAGTTTTTTTTGCCAAGTTAAGATGGTTTGTAAACCTAAACAGAGCAGCAGATCAACAAAGACAAAGTAAACCTAAACTAAACCAAACCTAAAGTAAACCTAAACTAGAGGATATTGTAGTCATCACCAAAATATCATTAGAGGATAAATGCACTTTCATCAACTAGCTCGCGACTATTTATGAGTCGACCGAGCTCAATATCCACCGTCATTTACCACCAATAGATATGAGCTACGTTTTCTTAGTTTTATCGAGATGTTTTGTTTTGTTTTGGAGTACTTCAAATGTAGGACATATATATTAAGTTCCAGTGAGAGAAGACTTTGACCAAGAGTTATTTTATCACTATGGGGTTTATAGGATAAAAACTCACATTTGTTAGTAAGTACTAAGTATCAACAAAACAAAAGCTAATGATACCAATTTCATGCCATATAAACCAGATATTGACATATAAGCCACACACATGTTATGATTACACGATATCATGAACATTTCTTCAAAGTTAAACAAGGACTATATATATTTAGTGAGCCAAGATAAACGCAAGCATCTGATAAATTTTACAATCATTTGTTCACTTGGGCACAGACATGCAACTGCCCGAAGGGTTCATCCAGGATCTAATACAATAACTCCCCAGCCGAGGAAAAATGGGAGGAAATCACCTTGCATGACAACTCCTATACATTGAAGAGAACATTTAACATACTATTATTTCAAACAAAGAACTAATTTACCTCGTACGAGCTAACAAACATCTATCTAGCAACAAGCGTGCACCATTTTTGACCAGGAAAAGATAGTCACATGCAACTAACGAGGACGAGAGCATCACATACATGTTCACTTCCAAACCCCTCTAAGGCCCTGAAGTGGATTTAAACACGAGCAAGGCAATGATCCATCCCACATCAATACAGCAAGCAACTACTAGGGAAAAACTTATACACAGACGCTTACTAGTAGCGCGGGTTTATACCTCTCGCTACTGCTACTTACTAGTAGCGCGGGTTTTTAACCCTCGCTACTACTAAGTTGATAGTAGTAGCGCGGGTTTTTAACCCTCGCTACTACTAAGTGGTCTCTATCGTGCCCCCCGAGACATGTCATAGTAATAGCGAGGGTTATAAACCCGCGCTACTGCTAAGTTGATAGTAGTAGCGCGGGT